AAAAAAAAAAAAAAACACGAGATATTTTTCCATGAAAAATGGACATTTATTATTTGGATAAAATAAAAATTGGGCCCATAGTCAATAGGTTATGAACGCAATAAACGCCAGCTAAAAGGATCAAGTGAGTGATGAGTTACCAACCAAAGAAGGCAATGGCAAAGGCACAGCTCGTTTTCTTTGATTGCAAGCCTTCACGGGATTTTGCACTAAAGCATTCATATGAATCATGAGGAGAGAAAGGTGACTGGCAGGTCACTGAAATTTTTCCAAGTAGAGCAGTCAAATGAGAGACTTCACAGTTCTAATTAGAGCGTATCTTTGCTTTATGACAAGTGATTTTCCACTCAGTGACTTACAGCTGGAAAATTTTTCCAGAGGAATTTTTCATGGTCCTGGAAAAAAACAGTCCTCCCCCAAAAGATCCTTTTTACCTTGAGCAATGGCTGACTTGGGGAAGCATATATGACCTTATTCGGATCATTATCAACAAGTAGGTTAACTGTTCTATTGAATCCATAACGATGATAAGTAAGCACCTAACAAAAGAAACCCTGACTTGACTTAATTTGGACAAACTTTTAACTGTGCATGAAATCAAAAGATGGGTAATATTGCTCTTGGATTTTTTCATAAAGTTGGCTACCATTTTTTGTTTTTATGATTGTGGTGTTGATAATATATAAAAAGCTTTAACTACTATTAACTATTGGGTAATATTGGCAGCACTTGTATTTGCCAATAAAGTTGATGAATCCAATATGTCCCTTGTGAAAAAGCCAATTTGGGTTTGTTGTTTGGATTAATATCACTAAACGATTATCCAACACGTAACCATGAAACATTTTCATACTATTCAAATTGCAAAGAAAGTGAGGATATCAAATATACTTTTGGGCATTGTCGAAGAGAGTTTATGGGACATAATTTATTTCATAAACTTAAAAGTTCTACCTTTGGTACAAATTATATATATATATAATTTGTAACGTATGGTCACCTTCTATCCCCACCTTATTTCATGCATTACACAAAAAGATTACATTCAAAGGCAACGAATTGTAACATCAAGCAGACATGAAAGTACAGAGTCATTGTGACTCATTGCCAAATTGGCCCAAAAGGTTGTCGAAATTTGATTATTTTTTGGGCACTGTTGAGGTTGATGCATTGAACCAACATCTACCAACTTCAAAAGCTTTCTAGGAGTTTAGAGCTTTAGCCTGATCGAATTGGACAAGGAAATACCAAAACCTTCTGTAATATCTTCATTGTTGTTTCTAAGTATCCACTTAAGCAATGACTTAATCATTTAACAATTAAAGTTTAACGTTGACAAGGTTGATGAATCTAAAGTTAACAAGGGGACAATTTAACAAAAGGTTTATGACTAGGCAAAAGTAGGTGTGTAATGAAAGTGTTAGGCAAGTTTCGACTGTGGGGTTGTTTTCCTTTAAGCACGTTTAACCCAACCTAATAATGATTAATTAACATATCTTTAGTCTGAAGAAAGCTACTCTCCAGGTTCCCATCATGTTATCTACTGTTTTCCTAGGAAAAAGATGTTCCCCAAGAAAAAGGGTATACGAATGCAAAAGTCACTTGGGGTTCATGCCATCCTTTTTGCTTATACTTGTAAATACGTGGGTGGTTTAGGTAAGAGGACAGTGGCGGAAGAAATAAGCAGAGTGGCCAATTGCAGTCAAATTTGGTTGGCTTTTATGTTTTGGATTGCTTGCTTTTCTTTTGTTGTTCTTCCTTCCAAGTCAATAGCTGAACGGGCAAAAGTTGTTTAACTTTGTACTCTCCTTTCTTTCTCTTGTGGAATTGGAAAAATTAAGGAGAAGAGTGATGGTAGGTAAGAGAATTGATGTGAGAGTTTGATTATCCCAAGCACACACAAAAACAAAAAAAGGGTCGTTCTAATTATGAGTATCTTTTGAGATGAGTCCACTTGGAGTAATTGTCTTAAGACATTGCCTTTTTATATAATCTTTCAGAATAGGAATAAACAAGATAAGAGGGAATTAGATAATGATCAAGAACAACCCACGTTGACCGGAAAGATGTGTATTTTAGGCTTCCGTTGTGTGGCGATTTGGTGTTTCTTCTTAGTTAGAACATTGGCTTGATTTGTCGGGTAAGGATTTATCTTCGCTCAAGACTTTTGAGCTGAATCAAAAGAAGGTAGGTCTGGGTCCAAGTTTGAACACAGATGCCCTCAGTCAAAACGAGCCTTTCAAGCGCTCTTCCTAGTGTTGGTTTTCGTCTCTTCTTCATGGTATAAAAAAACAGAAGATAATTTTGCCTTTCAAGTCCAACAACAAAAGAAAATAGGGTAGTGGTCATATAGGGCAAAAAAATAAAAAACAAAAGACAAAGGCACAGATAGAGGTGATGATAAGGCCGACATAGACCCGGAAAAGGTGGGGAAATTTGGACTTGACCGAGACAGAAAGGAGTCAGGAAGGAAAGTCTATCGTTATCCTTCGCTGTAACTAGTTACTGATATTTCTAGTCATATCTCCCATCACACCAAATTATTAGTCTTTGTTTTAATTACAAACACAAAAACTATCATCTAATATTTTTCCATAAAAATAATCAACATAATATAACATTAAATTACAATCATCTTACAGTCAATGAAAATAAAATCCAATCTCAGATTGCAACACTTTTATGTCAATGCATCATAGTCAACCGATTCCTTTTCTTTATGCTGTCAAGTGTAGAAAGAGTAAAATGAGCTTGGGCACCAAAGCCCTCTTAGGCCCATTAAAGTTGTGTAGACTTTGGACTTTGCCATGTGGCCTAAAGTTTGGTGGGACTCAAATTGAGTTCACTTAAAATGTTTAGAATCAAAATATCCGTCAATATTTAATAATTTTATTTAAAATTAAAATAATTTAATATTAATATTATATTATTAAAATATATCACATCAATATTATGTTAGAATTGGTGTGATCACTTTAACGATAAAGTTAAATACTTTTAAGGAAAAAATTAAATTAAAGTAATTTTTAAAGTTAAAAAATTAACTTATTTTGATTTTAAATAAAAATAAAATAAAATAAAATATATAAATATGAAAACTTGATGAGCATTTTGACTAAATGTTCACCATTCAATTTGTCTTTATTTGAAACCATAATGATTACTGATCTCCGAATTTTCCTTCAAAATAGTTTGTTGTTACCCATTGAAATCTGCGCTTACCTCTTATGAGTTGTGAGTTTTATCAACCAAAGGGATAAAGCCTAATTTAATTCAAATATTTAATTCATTAATTAATATATTATTTTTATTTAAAAAATAAAATTTAAATCTCTTTCTATCAATTATATATAAGAAAAAACTTTAATTTTCATTCAATAGATATTTCCTTTACACTCAGATGAGTGAGATCAGCTGTTGATAGGATTCCAAACTCAGAAAAAGTGATTATACAAAGTAATGATCCAACCATCCTTGCTGTTGAAGGTAGTATTATTTCAGATCAGCTTAATTTGGTATTGTTGCAAACTTGGGATCCTATTTTGGTTTATGATTGGATACCTTAACATGATACCACAACTTTGGTTAAGAAACTTAGCAGCCTTTTATTTTATTTTTTTTTTCGTTTTGGCTTTCTCACTAGTTGCAACAATGAATATCCCAGAGCCTCCACCCGCTCAGGGAACGAAATGTGACGGTGAATCACTCTTACAAAACCATCCCCGTGCTATTCAATATTGCCTCATTCCATTTGCTCCAAAAATCCAAGCGGTAAACCAGCTAGAAAAAAGTCAGTGGGTTCTACTCTCCTACCGTCATTTTGAGACAATATTACAAAGCCGAACAAGGCATGCTTCCGATTCTGCCTAAGGACATCCTGGACTAAGATAGTGAATGTCTCCTACTTCTGGATTGGGTGGACTTTGTTTCTTCTGCATTGACTGATCCAGGGCTCTCTGATGTATCAGAGCTGCTAATTTCACCGTGTCTTTCCTTACTTGACCAAAGTTTTGAGAAGATCTTTGACATGACTAAACCCTTCATTCTATTAGCAGCAATCTTTTCGGCATCACTTTTAGCAGCGTCATTTCCGTTTCTACCACTCCCACGACTGCCTAATCTTAGAGTAGCAAGCTCCCCTTTCAAAGCCTTGATATCCTCGGCTGTTGGCACAGAATCCCAATCATCTTCAGTGTTAGTTGTAGTGGACCTTGAGCTGCCATGAGACCCACCAGGGAGCAGGGCTCTAATGGACCCTGGAAGCTCAGGTGTGCTGTTGCCAGCTGATGCCGTAGCCCTCACTTGCTCAAAGAAGAGGACTTGCACAACAACACGCAATGGGAGCCTCTCATTTTGCACAGCATGCATACAGGCCTCGGCTGACAACTTCCTGCAGTCCATTAACCTGCATATTCTCTTTCTCTCACTCTTGCTGATTCCAGGGTGTTCCTGTATTGAGAGGAAAAAACTAGTTTTAGTTGTTAGTCGGAAATTGATATATTGCTCTTATAAAAGCACATTTGGTCAGTCTAAACTGTGTTTTGTTTAAGAAAAATTTTTAATTTGATATACAGGAATGAAGGAAAGAGGGACAAGATGGATCAAAAGTAAAAAAACTAGAGCTGAGATCTCGGAAATTACCTTCAGATACATGTCTATGGCACGGTAAAGTCCATCATGAGAAGGTCTAGAGAAGCTAGCTACAATTTCTGCAAGATAGACAAATTTTGACAGATGCAAATTTGGATCTCGTGCAATTTCAGCAAGGTAGCCATCAATAAGCTTTGCTACCAACACTTTACAAGCATCTGGTCCAAACTTAGGGCTTCTACTCTCCTGGAATTCATTTTCAGTGGGGTCACTTTGAGAACTGTGACTCACAAACTCCTCAACTAAGTTGTGAACTATGTCAACATTATATATTGTTGGTTCTCCAGCTGGAGCTCGAATCAGAAGATCAGTCACTGCTGCCTCCGGAAGCTGCTGGCCAATTCTCCTCATCAACTCATTTCTCTCCACTTCTCCACAATCCAATAAAATTGCTGCTCTTAATAATCTAAGCAAGAAGCTACAAGAAACAGTTCCTTTCTCAGTGGGCAGCAGCCGCACAATGGTCTCCACCAACGACCTATACTTTATGAAATCATTATTCTGGACCATACCCTTGCTAAATCCAGGCAATCTTCTCAAGGCGTATGCATTTAGGGCTTCTCCAATTACATCACCAGAAACTCTGCTTTTTGTTTTAATTGTTGTTATCACACGCTTGTATAAATCAATATGAAGCTCACAGAGATCTTCTACCCACCAGTCCTTTGGAACCATTTGTGGTTTTCTTACACCATTCCACTGCGGACTACTTCCGTTCTCTGATGGGAGCTTCTTCCTATTATAGGTGTATGACCACTCCACCTTGGAAGTATCAACGGAGGCCTTGGAAGCTATGGAATCAAGGCAGTGGCTGACCACCTTTAGTTCCTCAGACCACGGAAGTAGAGATTTTGTTGTTTGAAGAACAATGATAGAATCTTTCCAGCTCCTGAATATACTTGAATTGAGGAAGACATCAATCTTATAGATAAGGTTTCCTTTCTCAACAGTTTCATACATCTCCAGGTATTCTGCCGCACATCTAGCAGCGACAACATTGTATGCGTTGAGAGTGACTGTCATACTGTAACAAAACTTAGCACATATTTCAAAAGCAGCAGGTCCACCAGGAATATCTTGAATGTAGATTTCATCACTGTTCTCATCATTTGATGTTGCAACCAGCTTCTGCAAGCGTGCACTTTTGGATAACAAGGGGAACTACAGAAAAATTGTGGTTATATACGTGAGCTGCCAAGAAAGTATAGGGACTAAAAAGAATTGCAATAAGGACAAAATTAAATTGGCCCTTTTAGAATTATACATATTTGCCTAGTCAACAAGTTGGACCATTAACAGACACCATTATGATGATTAGACTGAGAAAACTGATCCACACAAAAGACCTAAATAAGATGTCTGCCTATCAAATAACCTTCTAGAGGCAGACAATCTGTTTGACAATTTCTGGTTGATGCAAAAATATATTGGCTCATTGGTCCGCACAAATATAAGAATTGAATATATAAATCATTTACATCTCCTATGATAATCAAAACACTGTATCCTTCGCATGATGACAGATTGATATCAGTTCATACCTTATGCAGATAGAATTTCACATCCCCGATGTTAACGACTAAGTCAGTTGCCAACTCAGTTGCAACATACCTGAGATAAATATTTGTCCAGTCATGTCAGCAAAAAATTAATGCACAAATATTCACTAACTTGAATATGGGAAAATGTAAGCAGAATTAGGACAAAACTTTACAGACAATTACATTGTTGACATTCAATTCAGAAATAAAGGTTTCATAAATTAGTCAAGCTCTTTCTGTCTCTCTCTGTCATCAATAAGAAACAAAAATAGAGTAACAGACCAGGGCTGACACAAAGTAGAAGCAGTTAAGTCACTACAACTAAGTGGAAGTTCACTGCAAGCACCATACCCACTCCCTCCCTCCAAAAAAAAAACACACTGAGGACAATTTGCTTAATAGCACATGATTCTTTGTATTTACTGGTAACTTGGTTTGACAACCAATATGACCTGTAATCAATTCACTCGAAACCAATAATTTTTCAAGCATTCCATGGTTAAATATTAACCTTCTATTAATCCCCATCCAATAATGGGTTGAGCTGAGTAAAAAAACCATTTAGTATAGACTTCACGATTTAACTATGTAAGCATTCATCATTAAAGAACATATAACGTCAATTATAAATGGTAACGTTCATATAGAATCGAAGTATCTTAAAGTAGTAAAGGGTTTTAAGTTCAGCTTTAAGAAACACCTTTGATCATTGCTGAATACATATGAGAAATACATAATGAAGTTATCATGCCTCAAAGCTCAATCAGATAAATAATTCATAAAAATGCAGAGTGCCCAAAAACACTTGAAACACAGACGCTTGCCAAACATTCTCTATTGATACAATTTTTACCCCAAATATAATTATTCCTTTTTCTTCTCTTCAACAGAGGTTGGGAATGATTGTTTTGTCATCTCTGTACTATTACATGTTCTTTCAACTATCAATGTAGAAAATTATTAGGGAAACTAGGAGAAGAGCTCTGTATTCAGGTCTCACTGTTGTGTTCAACCTTGTATGCAACCAAACCAGAAATAAATATTGCAATCCAACACTATGGAAAGACCAGTGGTATCTAGATATAAGAACTGGGGAAGGATAGATACTTCAATCTTCAATAATAAATTCGTAAACTTAAGGGCTAATGTAATCCCAATAATAAGCCAACGGGCTTACCAATGCGCATTTCTAAAATGCATTTGCTTCCTCTGGTCTTGGAAAACCCAAAACTTTTAGTACAATAATATGTGTCCGATATTTCTCAACAGATAAGGTCCTGGTGTGTCAAAAGTCATTCCACCTTAAAAATATGATTTTTAAGATAAGATTTGGGCATTTTTTTGGCACTTGTTTTTTTTTTT